TAACTGAAATAAACACAGGTATCCTCTGGGTCTGGCATTTCAGTTGTGCTTTAAAAGAGCAGTTGATTAGAGATAGCTCCTTCTACCTGCATGCTTACACTTGGAAAAAGCATGAGAAGATATGCAATAATGTGAACTCCAACATGCACACACTCACTGTTTCCATGTTATTATTACACCATGGAACACGACAGCATTAGGGCACAGCTGAAGCAGGTCCCTGCCTCAGGCTTAAAACCTACTGTCCTGTTTTGGTTGGTCCATTAGTCTTTCTTCTCCATCAGACACATGGCCCATGGTTATTTAATGGTTTGTAGCAAGCTCCTTAGAAATTCCTACAGATTCACTTGCAGACTAATGCACTGCCCTGCAAATGTCTCCAAGCCTGCAGAGTTCTGAGAGCTGAGCTTTAACTCAAGTCAAAGACTAATTAAATTAAAACTATTAAACATTTGAAAGAGAGGCTTAGCTGATATGTCAGGTGTGCCACAGAATATAGACATGATTAAGCTGGTGAAACTAAACTGCATTCCCCACATGCAGCAGCAAACTGAAAGAAACAGTGAAATTAATCACGCTAAAAAGCTGAAGTTTTAAAGGTGACTATATTGCTTAGTCCAGAGCACTGGTGTTTTCTTTCCTGTCCTGGGTTTGGCTAGGATAGAGTTAATTTCTCAAAGGAAACTGGGAGAGGACGCAGCTAGGTGTGAACAATTGTACCACTTGTTTGGTATTGTTCTTTTATTAGTATTACTGGTGTTATTACTCTTTTTTTTTGTACTGTCCTATTAAACCATCCTTATCCCAGCCCACGAGTTTTACTTATTTCTCCTGATTTCCCCCTCCCATCCCAACAGCGAGCAGTGGCGTGGCTGCTTAGCTATCAGCTGGGCTAAACCACGATATTTCCTTATGTCAAATTGTCCTGTTGGCACAGGAGCATCACCTGCCCACTCAGAGAATCTAAGTTGTTGCCTCTTTTTCAGCTTTGCAGCAATCAGATGAATAACTAGTTAAAAGCTTTGCAACACCCACACTGTCCAACACCACTTCCAACTGTTGCAAGATCCCTCTCCCATGACAAAGTTTTAAAGCTTTTTTCCTCAAATAGTGATAATTTTAAAAATACAAACTTTTAAAATATTTTAAGTATAGGCTACTACTGTCAAGATGTTATAATTTCAAGACATTATTCAAATATATTTCTATAGAAAGATATCGCTGGGATGGAAAATAAAGAGAGTTCAGCCTTCCCTCAGCATTTACCTCCTCTGTACTCCCCATTTTGACAGCAAATAATCAACAGCCTCAAAAGACAAGCTGTTCTCGAAATACATCCCATAACACCCCAACTCACCACAATTACTCTCTCCGTTGTTCAGATAACGGTGAATCAAGTTTTCCATCCACAGCTGGTAGCAAACGCAGCGCTTTGTTATGGGGTCACAGTGCCCATGGCCAGAGCATTTCAAGAGACAGGCTAAGAACAAAACCAAACGCAGGGTCAGGTGTGGAAATGGACAACTTGTCACACATCCTCTTTCTGTGAGAGCAGACTGGTGCCAAAGCACCCAGTTCATAACGTTCTGATATTTTTTTAAATCTCCCTTTCCTTTAATCTATCCGTGAAATAGATTTACAGCTCAGCAGACAGCACTGAAATTGTATGCAAGTCAAGAACAGTTTATTCTAACCAGAAATAAGGACGAGTTGAAGTTGTGGAATTCAAACCTGCTCCTTTATGACCTGTTTGCAAGAACTTCTTAATACCTGAGAACTGAGGAATATCAGCATTCGTCAAGAATGGTTTATTCTAACCAGAAATAAGGACGAGTTGTGGAATTCAAACCTCTCCTTTATGACCTGTTTGCAAGAACTTCTAAATACCTGAGAACTGAGGAATATCAGCATTCTCAGGCACTAGAAGATGAGCATCACATCAATAAACTCAAGTGTATTTCAGTATTTCAAAACCAAATTACAGCATCTGAGGCCAGAACATTTACATGCCTCATACGCTTACAGTAGTAGCTATTGCTAGATCAACGTGTCATCTCAGACTAAAATAAAAAGTTATTCCCCTTAAAACTCAGAGTAGCAGATTTGCTATGTCAAGAAAAACGTTACACGTATTTTCAAGTGATACCTAGGCATTTCAGTAATCCAGGTACATTTACAACAGAACATCAATGCTTTTCAACAGGAAAATAAAGACAAAATTTACTACAGAATCAATGACTATTTTATTGCCAGAGCTCGCTCACTCTGTTTGCATTTGGATCATTCCATCCTGATTTTAAACGATGGAGAAGTCACATCTGTAACATCTGAGTATCATAAAGGGTTCAAACTACTAGTGAAGTTTAAAATAGGCTTAGAAGTTCAAGCATCTTTTTTGGGAAAAGAAGTCCATTGTAAGACACCCCAGTGGCCTGTCTACATTGCAAACCCTAGAAGACCAGGGGTTGGAACGAGATGATCTTTGAGGTCCCTTCCAACTCTAACCATTCTATGATTCTATAACATAGCAGTCACCTGAGCATTTTGCCTGATACAGACATAAAACCAAATTACATCACAAGCCTATTACTGAACACTAAAAGCCTTGAAGGAACCAGGGACATGAAACATTCTTTATTATGGCTGTATCAAGTTTTTGCCCGTTTTCCAACAAAATATGGTATGAGTTGGGTATCCTTACCCTCATTCCCTAGGCCCTCCTGATGCAGATCAGATTAAGATGTGCTTTTGCCTACTGCTATAGATGACAACTTGTAAAAGAACACAAGTAACTGGTACCAGTCTACTACAAACAAACCAGCATTTTAAATGCTGTCGTCAACGTCATCTTTCAGAGAGCTACACCGAAGCCCAGACACCAGACAGATCCAGGGTGCTGTGGTACCCAAACGCCCACAAAGTTCCAAGCTGAGCTAGCACAACCCAAAACATACCAGCTGTGTCGACCCGCAGGACTTTGAAAAGCAGAAAGTCAGCCTTCTCTTTCAAAAGCTGCACATGCAGAGCTCGTGAGACATCTGATGCCTTGATCACCTCGGCAGGCTGCCCGTTCTGCACGTAGAATACAACCGCGGTGCTGCAGAAAGAACACGACCAAGGTGATGACTGCTGCCAAAGATGGCTTTTGTCAGGCATTTCACTTCACAGCCTGGGCTTTTGTTTGTTTCTGGAGAGCAAATGCCACCACCGATAAAGATCGGTGAGCTCTGTCCACGGATCAGTCAACTCCATCCAAATGCCATGGACTTCATCCTGAGCCAGGAGCACCAGCAGTTCTCTGGCTTCCCAGTTTCACAGAAGAAAGGCAAGGACAACAGGAAATGTAATTACCTCCTGGATCTTCCTGACTCTCACTTTAAAAGAAGTTATGTATACAGTTACTTTCCCCCCCTCTCATCGAGAACCTGCCACAAGGCACTCTGAAGCACTTTGAGTAACTTAAGAAAACTGAATTTAAGAGAAGAAAAGCTCAGAAGCAAGGGAGTCAGCGGACTTCACGTGGCAGCCCTCCTTCCCCATCTCCACCCTCCACTTTTTTTTTCTTTTTTTTCTTTAAATTTGAGTGGTGCTGATCTCATCCCATTCCCCTTCAGGGAACACCTTTATCTGAAAAGCAGTAATTGGAAGCTGTGATTAAAAGCATCGTAACTATAAATACTAGATTTTCCAAACTGTTTGCTTTTAAAAATTTAAGAGGTTCCCAGAGGGCTAAACAGACACTAAAATGGGTTTTAAATTACCAAGCAGTTAACAAGAAGTAATTTAAAGATAACTCATGTCAACAGGTTCTACCAATCATGCTGAGATGTTTTCTCTGGGTACACCCAACCATCTCGAGCAAGCAGAGGGGGTATTTTTACTTCAGAGTAAAATACCACACTTAGGAGTGTCTGCTGTGTAGTTTTCTCTGCAAAAAATGAATTTTCGTCACTAGTTACTTGGGAAAGCATTTTTAAAATACTTAGAATATCAAAACCTTAAAGAGGAAGCAGAAGAATAAGGAAAAAAACAGGTTTGATCAGATACAGCTGAAACTTTACTTTGAAATACAATACTTGCTTCACTGTGAGAAAGTCTGCCTGTCTCATTCAAGCCAGCATTTGGGAAAAATAATAGCACTGTATGGAACAAAGACACTGAAATATAGGCACACACTTTCTTTAAAGGAATAAAATAAATTTTAAAAAAACTATGCAGAGAATTTTTAATTATTTTTTTAAAAACAAAACACTTCAGAGTTCTGAGCCTCCAGAGAGGTTACTTCATCGATTTCCTACCACAGCAGAAGAAATTCACTTTTTTAAAGTATATACTGTTGAGAGCTATAGCATTTTTTTGTCATCTTAGAAATTATTATTTTGCAACTAATTATGAATGGTGAGTCAATGAAAATCACGTATCTTCCTGGCACGGTAGGATATCTTTGTACCTTATATCTGAGTGCGCTTGTATCTTCTGAACTTTGATATCCGAATCCAAAACATTCAGCAAGACAGCCAGCTGTCTCACCAGGGTGTCCTTCTGCTGTTCACTCAGCTGGCCCACTCCAACTTGCAGAATCAGTTCCACCAGACCACTCCTTTTAGGATCTGACAGAAGAACAGGGTATTCTTTCAGAGCCTGGCAAATATTTCAGTACCAACTGAAGATAACATGCAGTACTCAAAAGTATTTATTAATACTATATTTTCTTGCTTAAGACCCATATCCCTTACAACCCAACACTTTTGTGTTCTTAGAAAAGTACTTTGCCTACATTTTCATTCCCTCTGAAACAAACCTGGTGGATCTAAGATAGCAACCCAGCTTACCAGCTGAAAGCAAGCACTTCAGGGCGTACATCGG